CCCTCCCCCCCAGCCCCCCGCAAAGTTTCAAGAGGTTTTTTGCCATTGACTTCAATGGCCCCATTGGTTATAATGGACCCGAATTTTTCGGGTTTCCCGAATTTTTTCGGGATTTTTTTTTCGGGATTCGGAAAAACGCATAGGAAGCCATTTCGGGATTGCAAAAGCCGAAAAACGTTATTTTCGGCTTTTTTTCGGTTCGGGATCCCGAAATGCACATCCCTAGTCACCTCCGCTCAGGCTGGGCCTCAGCAATGAATCCAGGCCAGTCTGCTGTCAGGGCTCCAAGTTCTCTGGATGAATTTTCAGTTGGTGAGGCCCGATGAAATGGACAGGCTGCTGGCCACCTTGAAGAAGAAGAAGAGGAGACTAGATTTATACCCCGCCCTTCACTACCCAAAGGAGTCTCAGAGTGGCTTACAATCTCCTTTCCCTTCCCCTCCCCACAACAGACACCCTGTGAGGTAGGCGGGGCTGAGAGAGCTCTTGAGAGAACAGCTCCGAGAGAACTTGTGACTGACCCGATGTCACACCAGCAGCTGCATGTGGAAGAGTGGGAAATCAAACCCGGTTCTCCCAGATGAGAGACCGCGCTCCTAACCACTACACCAAACTGGCAGCTGGGAGACCCCTCCTTCAGATGGCATCCCTGGACCCCAACAATGGCCAGTTTTCCATTCCGGGGGGGGGGGGGAAACACGAGCTTGGGGTGGCTACGCAGCTTCAGGGGACCTTGGGCTAGATGGGAATCTGGATGGATTTCGGTTCAGGCCTGGGTTGGGCGTGGGATTTATTTACTTCACTTAGAGTCTGCCTTTCTTGCTGAGACTTAAGGCAGATTGCAGGAAGGTAACGGGCAAGTCGCAGTTGACTGATGGTGACCATGTGGGGTTTGTCCTGGCCTGCCTCTGCCTCGTGACCCTGGACTTCCTCGGTGATCTCCCACCCAAGTATGAACCAGGGCTGACCCTGCTTAGCTCCTGGGACCTGACAAGGCTGGGCTGAGCCGGCCCATCCAGGTCAAAGGCTGCAGAAGGGCTAGGACCACAGGAGGAGGAAGAGGGAGAGGCTCCGTTTATGCCCCGCCCTTCACTACCCGAAGAAGTCTCCGAGCGGCTCACGACCTCTCCCTTCCCCTCCCCTCCCCACAACAGGCACCCTGTGAAGTGGGTGGGGCTGAGATTAGAGAACAATGTGAACAAGAAACAATCAAAGGCAGGGGTTCCCAACTTTTTAAAGTATGAGATCCTCTTTTTAATATACAAAAATTTATGGACAACCCCCCCCCCCCAAGAGAGTAGTTGTACTGTTTATCAGTTGCCACTTTGAGAGAGAGCCAGTTTGGTGTGGTGGTTAAGAGCAGCAAACACTAATCTGGGAGAACCAGGTTTGATTCCCCACTCCTCTGCGTGCAGCTGCTAGTGTGACCTTGGGTCAGTCACAAGTTCTCTCAGAGCTGTTCTGTCACGGGCAGTTCTCGGGAGCGCTCTCTCTGCCCCACCTGCTTCACCGGGTGTCTGTTGTGGGGAGGGGCAGGGAAAGGAGGTTGTAAGCCACTCTGAGACTCCTTTGGGTAGTGAAGGACGGGGTATAAATCCAATCTCTTCTTCTTCTTGATTGAGAAATTATATAACGACAAAAGCACCAAAATGACAATGCTTTGGGTGCTTGTGGACTGGCAGACCCCTTGTGAAAATAACTCCAAGCCCCTCCCCCCCCGCCCCGGTGTCCCTGGCCCCCCAGCTTGGGAACCACTGATCTAATAAGGTAAAGACAGTATAGTAAAAGCCAGTGACGCCTACAGTAATCGTTGCAGCAGGCTACAGTTCTGCTCATCATCAAGGTGTCCTCCTGGGTTGTTGTTGTTGCATTCAGCCACAGTCCTAATCCCTTTTTGAATGTGCCCTCCTGAAAATTTCTGGTGTGTGCCTTCTGTGGAAGCGCGGGAGGCCTCCTGAGCTCTCTAGGGCAAGCGGTCCGTTCCGCAAGGTTGCACCCGGAGAAGGCTTTGCTTGGGTGAGCCAACCTGTGGGGGGGGGGGGAGCATGGCAGGAAAGGAGGCCCTGCAGTGTGGCAGTCCAAGGTCCCCAGTGATTCTATAGGTACTAACCACCTGCCGTGGGGAGGGACCAGTGATCAAATGTCTGTGGTGAGGCCTCTTTACCATTGCAAAAAGTTCGAGTTTCCACAGAATGCTGGGAGGTCCCACTAACTGAACATAAGAACCTCAGAAGAGCCCTGCTGGATCCGACAAGTGAAGGTCCAGCATCCTCTCTCAAACAGTGGCCAACCAGTTCCTTTGGAGGTCCAACAACTGGGCAGAGAGGCTTTTATAAGAACATTTATAAGAGTCCTGCTGGGTCAGACCAGTGAGGGTCCATCTAGTGCAGCCTCCCGTCTCACACAGGGGCCAGCCAGTTCCTCCAGTGGGCCAACAACAGGGCACAGAGGCCGAGGCCTTCTCCTGATTTTGCCTCCTGGCTCTGAGGTTCAGAGGCTTCCCTTTAGTCACCATGGCTAGCAGCCACTGGCTATCTTCCATGAATCTCTCTGATCCTCTTTCAGAGCTGTCTATGCTTCTGGCCATTGCTGCATCCAGGAACACCGCTGCTATGGTGGAGGCAGCCGTTTCCAGACATGTGCTCCCTTTAGATACAGACCTGATGCCTCCTGGGATCTTCCTGTTAATTATGACATGATTATCCGCTTATGAAACTCTAGGAAGAAGGCCCCTTGCAGCTGTAAATGCAACGGCCGCTAGATTGGCCATGCGGCTGCGGTCCTCATCTCTCCCACCCGCCGCTGGTGCCCCCCCCCCCGCAAGGAACTCAGCTCTGAGAGGGAAGGGGAAGGGGGTGTAAGCTGCCTCTCCTCCCACGGGCTTGCTCGGCTTGGCCGCGGGGAGGGCGAGGAAGATGGCTCTGAGAGGGAAGGGGAGGGGGTTTAAGCCGCCTCTCCTCCCACGGGCTAGCTCGGCTTTCCCGCAGGCAACTGCCCCCTCCCCGAGTTCAGTGGGGGGTGCCGCCGCTGCCAGCCCAGCAACGCTGGGGCCGGCACAGGGAACAGCAGCGGCATTCGAACCCACCCGGCCAGCAGGTGCGGCGGCCCAGGGAAGCACGGCGCGGCTGTCTCCCCCTGTCACCGATCTCTGTGGGGGCACACTGGGAGGCCAGGGACGGTGGGGGCGCACAAGCAGGGCCCACGGCTCCCCAGGTCCAGGCCGTGGTGGGACAGGGAAGTGGCATGCGGCTCCCTGCAGCCCCTGCCTGCTCGTAGGCTAGCCAGGGATGTGAATGGCAGTTGGGGGGGAAGTGCCTCGGGGTGGCTGGAGGTGTCTGTGCAGCCAGGCGCAGCAGCGGGTGAGCGGGGGCCTGAGTAGGCTTGGGGGGAAAGGTGAGCGAGCGAAGGGCTGGCTGTCCGGTTCGCCTGGCTTCGCCCGTCTCCCTACCAGCCGCTCATGGGCCAAGGTGGCTAGGCTCGTTCCTCCCCCCCCCCCCCCCCCCCCCCCCCCCCACACCCCCGGCGCGGGGGGGGGGGCATGGCTGAGGGAGCGCATTTTATCTCGCCACCCCATAGGCCAGGGGCCACCCCAAATCAGCTTTATAATATAGAGAGATACCCTGCCTTTCCTCTTGGCTCGAGGCAACTTGTTGTACTTAATCGCTGAAGCAGAGCCCCAGCCACGGCATTAGGGGACAGCACCGCCTCCGTGTTATCTAACATCTCTGTGTGACACTGTTTGGAGCGACCGTCTGTGGGTGTGGAGTGAGGCTCAGTTCAGAGTGTTGGTCTTTATTCTAAATTGATTGAGAGACGGGGGCATTTGCAGGGACCGCCTCCTCCTGTACTGTCCAGCTGAATAGTTGAGACCCTCCTCCCACGCCTGCTTTCTTTCCCAATAGCTGTGGAGGTGAGGGAAGTGACAACTAGAGATGGGGCTTTCTTGGTGGTAGCCCCATCTCTTTGAATGTCATCCATCTTGAGGTTCAGTCGGCACCTAATCTCCTTGCCCTGTTTTCTCTCCTAACTATGCTAGCTCCATGCTGTGTTAAGAACTTTTGAATGATATATTTTTATTTCAAAATTCTGTTTAATCCATCTCAGACAGATTTTGGTAACTGCAGGACAGACTCTTCTAAAGAGAGCCAAGTAAACATCAGGGTTTGGCCTCTTGCAGATAGGTGGTGGCCAGACTGTGGAAGCAATCTGGAAAGCCGGCAGTTTTACAAGACAAGTTAACAGGCAGGAAGGGACATCTGAGGTAAAAAGGAAAAACAGTTACTGAAAAGTATATCTGGTGGTTCTTTTTAAGAAGTGAGAGTCTGGCTTTGGAGGGGCCATGGTTCAGTGGTAGAGCCCCTGCTTGGCATGCAGAAGGTCCCACGTGCAAATCCTGTCATCTGCAGTTAAAAGGACCAGTCAATAGGTGATGGGAAAGACCTTTCTTTGCCAGAGACCTTGAAGAGCCTTTGCCAGTCTGAGTAGACAATACTGCCCTTGATGGACCAACGGGAGAGGTGTTCAGAAATAAGTATTTGGGGGGGGGGGTCTGGCAAGGCAACCAGTAGCTAAGCCCCTCTGCCCAGTGTGAGAGCCCCGTGTCCACTCCACCTCACACAATCCCAGCCAGACAGTGCTAGCAGTTACAGAGTCCAATTGGGGGGGGAGGCTCAGCCGAGGAATCAATGGAGCTAAGCCCCTCTGCTCAGCATGAGCGGAAGGACAGGTGCCTCAGGGCCTTGAGTAGGCACCCAATGCCCCCAACCCCACTGCTCACAGGAGGAATGACTTCAGGTTCCCTTCCTTCTCTGCCGCTGCCTCTAACTAGTGTGTGGCACGCCTGCTGTGTGTGAGGTGCAGTGTGTGTGTCATTCTGCTCCCGTACAGTTCTCTTATTGGCGGCCAGTGCTGTCTGCTGAGCTTTGGAGGGCCACTGTTGGTGTTTCCAGGGCTGCAGAAGTCCATCCCCCCCACCGTTGCTTTGACGACCATAATTGCTCAGCACCAGTGTGTCTGCCATGGACGGTGCTGTGAGAACGCCCCACCATGAGATGCCCGAACCTCCAAAAACCACGTGCAGGGTTGTTGAGGCAAGATCGTGTGGACCTTGGCCGGCAGACCAAGACCCAGCGGTTTCAGTTGCAAATTTAGGGTCATGGGTAGGTTCGTGCCCATCCCTAATCCCCCTGGGGGAGAAAGGAGAGGTATAAAGTCAGAAAAGTGGTTTTGCAGCTACAAAAGCGATGGTTTTGCTTGCCTTCTCCCCATGTTCTCTGAATACTGGCTCCTGCCCCTAACCACAGACAACTTGCCTCGGCCAGTAACCAGCTGCTCCCTGTATGGGGCCTTCCTCACCAGCCATTGGCTCGTCTTCTGTGATGTCATCAGATGAACTGGAGAGGGGTGTGTCGGTCTTGCTTTGTGTTGAAGCCCCCTTGTTTCTCCGGAGAAGTGGAGCACCCGGAAAGTAAACTTTCTCTCTGTCTTTGCAGGCGCAGGAAACCATGAGATCACTTGTTGGAGCGGCTCCGTCGTCCAAGGGATTTTTTCAGACTGCGTAGCCGGCTATGCTGGGCAATGGTTAAAGGGAGAGACTTTAATAAAGGGCGGGGGGGGGGGAGCGCTCCCTGCCCGTCGGGACGTGGAAGAAGAGGGCCTGCTTCTACTGCTACCTCTTGACCTTGCAAAGTTGCCCTCGTTCTTCTAGAATACTGCCACCGCCTTTTTTCCTCTTGCCTTCCCCACGTCCTTTTAAGAGACTTTGTCAAAATATGTTGTTATTTATTTAGCTCTGTTGCCATTTTTTTTAGAATAGCTGGTTGCAAGATTAGAATTGCAATCTCCTTTAGCTCTGGCCTGAACTTCTTTGTGGGACAAAGTGGGAGCGTGGCCATTCCTACGGGGGGGGGGGCTCGGCCCCCCGTTGGTCTCCTTCACCTGTTTGTGAGCTGCAACACACACTGCGGGGGCAGAGGAAAGGCCTCTTTGCTTCTTAATGTCTCAAATGACAAATAAAAACTTGATGCACAGCACCTGGCTTCCTGTGGCCTTACTGACTTACTCCCGCCCCCTTTGGCTCACTCCCCGGGGGGGCAGACAAGTTGCAGCGATACCCGGTCAGAACCAGCCTGCATGGTCCTGCACTCTAAGAACCTGTTTCCTGAAGGTGGTGGACGAAGCCAGTCTTCTGGATGGAGTCAAAGCAGACAGCGCCTCTGGTAACCGTCCGTACCAAGCAGGGGGAAGGAGTCTTCACAAAATGGCATTAAGAACGTAGGAGACGCCAATGCTGGATCAGGCCAGTGGCCCGTCCAGTCCAACACTCCGTGTCACACAGTGGCCAAAAATACCAGGTGCCACCAGGAGGTACACCAGTGGGGCCAGAATTCCAGAAGCCCTCCCACTGTTGGACCCCCCCCCCCCCAGCACAAAGGAAACAGATTGGCCCAGAGTTCCCATCTATACCTTGTGGCTAACAGCCACTGATGGACCTCTGCTCCATATTCATTCATTCATTCAATTTCTATACCGCTCAATCCCGGAGGCTCTGAGCGGTTTACATAGGCATATTATACTTCCTATCTAGGGCCACGATGTATATAGGAGAGGTGAGTGCCTACCAGGCACCCTGCCGGCTTGTTCTTTCTTCCTGCTGCTTCGTGGAGGGTTCTATCGGCGCAGCTCCGCAGCGGCTCCTGGGTTGGTTCCATAGTCCACGACTGTGTGACAACTGCTGCACCGGCCTCTGTCTGATTAGCTCCGGCCGTGCTGCGTCGCCACGTCTCTGGACCAGTCCCCGCCTGGAACGTCTGCAGCTTGATGTTGGTTTCACCGCCATGTTCTTTTTGCCAGATCGCCGTCGTTATCTGCCGCCACCAATGCCATCAAATCCTAACATTTAGAAAAAATCCTGGCAAGGTGCTCTTAAAAAGCGGGGTCTTATCTCTAGAATTTATAGGATTCTTTGTGATAAAAACATTGATGCTCAGCTATCAAAAAGCATGGTGTGCGGATCTTAATATCCAGTTAACTGACGATCAATGGTCCTCTATTTGGAGAACACAGATTTCCTTATCCAAATCATCAGAAATCCTTGAAACCTCTTTCAAAGTATTGTCGCGCTGGTATCTAACTCCGGTTACACTCTCACACATGTCTGCATCGATCTCCCCTCTTTGTTGGAAACTCTGTGGGGAAAAGGCGACTTTCTATCATACTTGGTGGACATGAAGATTTATTTCTAAATTTTGGTTTCAAGTACAATCTCAAATTTTGGTTCTTACTGGTTGTGACATCCCTTTAGATCCCCGATTGATGTTATTAAATCTCTGGCCGGAGAGTGAAATTCCTAATAAACAGAGAAAATTGATAAATATACTCCTTGCGGCGGCGAAAAATAGTATTGCCAAAAAATGGAAAGATAAATGTCCTCCGACAATTAATCTATGGCTTTCTGAAGTTTGGGAATATTTTTTATTTGAAACTGTTTCAATTTTTAATACAAATGATCAAAATGAATGTGACCTGTTAAACCCAACCAGTAAATGGTATCCAATTGTTAATAAGTTGACCTTCGATTCTTTTAATTGGAAATCTATCAGTAAAGCAAAATACTCATTACTGTTATTAAGTTAGTTCGCTTTTACCAATATATGTTTAAGAGAGGCTGGACACTTGTACACTGCTTGATTTATTCAGGTTGTTTTTGCTACATTGACGCTTGAGAACCTGTATGTATTCGATATGTTTTATGTTGAAACCTAATAAAATATTATGGTTAAAAAAAAAAATCTGCTGCCGCCTGCCGCCACCACAGGTCTTCTTCGGTGCTACTGCGCCGGAAGGCGGGTGCCCTCCTGCACCTAAGGCAGGTACCCATTTATCTACTTGCTAGGCTTTCGAACTGCTGGGTATGCTTATCTAATTCCCTTTTGAAGCCGTCCATGCTTGTAGCCGCCACCACTTCCCCTGGCAGTGAATTCCAAGTGTTAATCCCTCTTTGGGTGAAGAAGTACTTCCTTTTATCCGTTCTAACCCGACCGCTCAGCAATTTCATGGAGTGCCCACAAGGAGTTCTTGTATTGTGAGAAAGGGAGAAAAGTACCTCTTTCTTTACCTGCTCTTTCCCATGCATAATCTTATAAACCTCAATCATGTCACCCCTCAGTCATCGTTTCTCCAAGCTAAAGAGCCCTAAGCGCTTTAACCTTTCCTCATAGGGAAAGTGCTCCAACCCCTTTATCATTCGAGTTGCCCTTTTCTGCACTTTTCCCAATACTATAATATAATATAAAATAATATAATAAAATATATAATATCCCACTTCCTCCTCCTCATCCAGAGCCTTCGATATGAAGACCAGAAAATCCACCCGGCGCAGGACTCCCGTCCCCATGGCAACCGAAGGCAACCGTCACCCCTCCGCCTCGTTCGGAAACCAGCCAACAAACGGCCGGCGGTGACTCACGTGACCCCTTTACGCCGGCCCCACCCTCTCCCCCCCTCCCGTTCGGAGCGCGCAGGAGAGGCGGTGGTGGCTCTGCCTAGCCCTGGGGTCCTCGCCGCCGGGCTGTCCTTTCCTGTGCCTGAGACAACTCCCGAGTCAATCTGCGGTTAGCCTGCGGGCTGGGGAAGAGGAAACCCCGGCGCTGGGTGGCATTCCCCGGCACCGCCTAGGAGAGGAGACGATGCAGACAAAAAACCCCGCGTCGTTCGAAGACGGCTCAGGCAGGTTCGGTAGTCGCCTAAATTTCTTTCCGGCGAGATAGGGCGTGGGAGGGGGAGTGGCTGTGGGGCAGGTGTTGCCAATCCCCAGGTGGGGGCAGGAGATGCCCTGATTTAGAGCCCACCCACCCCCCCAGGGCTGTCAGAAAGCGGGGATGGGCAGGGATGGAGAAGGTTCTTCGAGGGCCATTTCAACTGGCCCCTATTTTTTCTTCTTCAAATAAGTGTTTTTTATTATCTTATTATATATAACAGTACATTCAGAACACATATTAATACCATACAATAATCAACATTCTCAACCCGTAAGAGCCTTTTAAAAATATAACAGATCTTTGTAATAAGAGTTGTTTGGAATCACTTCTTCCTCTGCGAGATATTCCACTGCTGGGAGCCAAGTTGCTTGAAAATCTTTTTGGTGAGAGACAATTTTACCATATACAAAGTGTTCCCAGATTTTGTTTTGCCAACATTGAAGAGTAGGTTGATTTTTGTTTTTCCAGTATTGGGCTAATGTTATTCGTGCAATTGCTAACAATGTTGCTATTAATTTTCTAGTGACTTTACTTTCACAGGTATCTGGGATGACATCCAACAGGACCGTTTCAGGTAGAAAAGGTAAGTTAATTCCCGTAATTTTGTGAATTTGTTGTACATGAGGGACAGGACCACCAACAATGCAGAAAATCTCCAGTCTTCCCACATTTTTTCCAGCAGAGTTTATTTATTTTTGGATCCATTTTATTTAGCCGATCAGGTGTTAAGTACCAGCGATGAAAATTTTTAAAGAAATTAAGTTTGATACAAAAGATCTTTGAAGAAGGACTGGGCGAGCTCCAGATTTTGTCCCATGAGTCCATCTGGAGTCTGTTTTGACAGTCCGTTTGCCATTTGAGTTGTGAGGCTATCGTTTTCTGCTGCAGTTCAGTACGCAGAATTTTATATGGACAGTCTCTTGCTCTACCAGCTGTCTCTTGGGGGGGGGGCTCCTCTAGACTAGGCCCAGCGCTGTGCCAGCTTTGGGTTGGGAAAGAGCCAGCATGGTGTAGTGGCTGAGAGTGCTGGAGACTGTTCTGGGAGAACCCGGTTCGATTCCCCACTCCTCCTCATGCAGCCAAGCTGGGTGACCTTGGGTCAGTCACAAGTTCTCTCGGTGCTGTTCTCTCTCCAGAGCAGTCCTCGAAAGAGCTCTCTCAGCCCCACCTGCCTCACAGGGTGTCTGTTGTGGGGAGGGGATGGAAAAGGAGGTTGCAAGCCGCTCTGAGACTCCTTGGGATAGAGGAAATACCTGGAGATTTGGGGCATGTAGCCTGAGGATGTGGCGTTTGGGTAGGGACCTCAGTGGGGTAGGATGCCATAGGGACCACCCTCCAAAGCAGTAGTTGTAATCCCAGGAGACCTTCAGCCACCACCTGGAGGCTGCCAGCCCTATAAGGACCCAGCATCTTGCGTTTTAGAGACGCAAGAGAGTTCCCCTTCCCAACCTCCCATCCTAGCCTTGGTTTGCCCAGTAAGGGCCTGGGAACTTCCCCCAATTACAGATATTCTCTGGACTACAGAGATCGGTTCCCTTGTTTATTATTCTTTTATGTATTCTTTGTAAGGAGCTGCGGTGGCTCAAGTGGTTAAGAGGCTGAACTGCAGGCTGTGGAAGGTCGGTAGTTCAGCAGTTCGAGACCCGAGTGTGCCGCATGACGGAGTGAGCTCCTGTCTCTAGTTCCAGCTCCTGCCAACCGAGCAGTTTGAAAGCGAGAAATTGCAAGTAGATAAATAGGTACCACTTCGGTGGGAAGGTAACGTTGCGTTCCGTGCGCCTTGGTGTTTAGTCATGCCGGCCACATGACCACGGAAATGTCTTCGGACAGCGCTGGCTCTTCGGCTTTGAAACGGAGATGAGCACCGCAACCCTAGAGTCGGACTCGACTGGCTTTCGAGCAAGGGAGACATTTACCTTTTTATGTATTCTTTAATTAAAATATTGGGGGAGGGGGTATTTGTGTGTGCGTACATTCGTGCATGTGTGCCTGGAACTCATGGTTGACTTCTGGCGACCCCTACCGGGGGGCTTGGATGTTTCAGAGAGGTGGCTTGCTATAGCCCGCCTCTGCATCATGGCCCTGGTATTCCTTGGAGGTCTCCCATCCAAGTAATTGCCAGGACTGGCCCTGCTTAGCTTCTGAGATCTGATGAGACCGAGCTGGCCTGGGCTACCCATTATTTAATTAAGACATTGATTAGCCACCTTTCTTCTTTATGGTGCTCAAGGTCGCTACTGCAGGCCCCTATTGCAGGCCGTTACTGCAGAGCTTGGTCTGTGGTTTTAACATCTAACTGATTATGAGCAGAAACATCGTGGAACATCTGGGCAGTGGAAATTTACTCTAGCAATATACCATCTAGGTTAATTGACTTTGTAGTTATAATTTTTTTGTTGTATGGTTAAATATTGTGTAATTTTAATGTATTTATGCTTTTATGGAAGCCGCCCTGAGCCCTCTTGTGGGGACGGCGGAGTATAAATTTGATAATAAATAAATATAAGGCAGCTTACAATACAGGGTGTCTGTTGTGGGGAGGGGGAGGGGAAGGAGATTGTCAGCTACTCTCAGTCTCCCTCAGGGAGTGAAGGGCTGGGTATAAATCCAATCCAATCTCTTCTTCTAAAAAATAAGATTACATTTTTAAAAAAACATAGAACCCTTATTTAAAAAATCACAGTTTAGGACTGCTTTAATCAAATGCAGTCCTAAATAGCGCCCTGGAACAAAATGGCAGCTTTGCAGGGTGGATTTTGTGGCATTATACCCTGATGAGGTCCTTCTCTACTAGGGTTGCCAAGCTCCAGGTGATGGCTGGAGATTTCCTGGAATTAGAAGAAGAAGAGAAGAGATTGTATTTATACCCCGCCGTTCACTACCTGAAGGAGTCTCAGAGCGGCTTACAATCTCCGAGAGCCAGTTTGGTGTCGTGGTTAAGTGCGCAGACTCTAATTTGGGAGAACTGGGTTTGATTCCTCACTCCTCCACTTGCACCTGGCTGGATGACCATGGGCAAGCCGTAGTTCTGATAAGAGCTGTTCTTGAAAAAGCGCTGTTTCTGTCAGAGCTCTCTCAGCCCCACCTGCCTCAAAGGGTGTCTGTCGTGGGGAGGGGAAGGGAAAGGAGTTTGTAAGCCCCTCTGAGACTCCTTTGGGTAGAGAAGGGCAGGGTATAAATCCAATCTCTTCTTCTTCTTTCCCTCCCCACAACAGACACCCTGTGAGGCAGGTGGGGCTGAGAGAGCTCTTTCGAGCACTCCCCTTGAGAGAACAGCTCTGAGAGAACTTGTGACTGACCCAAGGTCACCCCAGCAGCTGCATGTGGAGGAGCTGGGGAATTCAACCTGGTTCTCCCGGATTAGAGTCCCTGCGCTCCTAACCACTACTCTCCAGGCAACAGAGATCAGTTTGCTTGGAGAAAACAGCCACTTTGGAAGGTAGACTCTGTGACATTCTACCCCACTTGAAGTCCCTCCCCAAACCCCGCCCTTCTCTGGCTCCACCCCCAAAGTCTCCAGGTCTTTCCCAACCCAGAGATGGCAACTCTACTCTCCACCCTCCCCAGGGCCCACCCTCAAGTCTCCAGGAATTTCTGCAACATGGAGTTGGCAACCCTAGGAGTTACTTCAGGTGCTTCCCTTTGGCTTGGAAGGGGTC